GCAACGCATGAAAAATATCTGATATTTTTATGCGATATTTCTATCCCATATGAATAAAAATATCTCATAGTAATCTCTGGATATCTGACTGAATTCAACATCATCCAGTTTGGCCATCGATGAAACGGCAAAACCAACCATAATTCTCAACTGTTTTGAATCAGGAAATCATTTGAATGGAGAGCCGATTTTTATCATGGCGTTTTGGATTAACCGAAGAATTAGATCAGGACGTGTGAAATGCGAGCATTATGTTATATTATTTTCATTTTAATGTTTGGCTCCGTTTCAACACTCTATCGATTTGCGCATTGTGTGATAGAATACTTGATTTTATTTGAGAAATAAACTTGGAACTTTTGCAAACCCCAAGCGATTTTTCAATTCTGCTTTTCCATTTTCCAAGCTTCATTTCGAAAAGTTGATCAATTGGTTGTTTTTAATGATTTTATTGTTCAAGTATATTAGTAAAAATTCACCGAGCACTTTGAATCTATTGGTGCTTTGTTTTTTCAAGCAGTGGTGCCGCTGGAAATTTCTTTCGGACATTTGGATACCACAAATACACACGCATACCAACAAACACAAAAAATGCTCTCTTTTGACAACACAGATAAACTGACATAACTGCTTCGATCGCTCAATGTCGTAAAATTGAACGATTTTCATGTGTGTGCGCAAACATACATATACACAGGCAGAGAGATAGAGAGAAGTATTGCCTGATGTGTTGAATATTCTGCGTTCTATTACTCGTACCAACTTCGGAATGTATTGATAAATATTCCTTTGTTTTGACACAACCATATTCAACACATCTCTGGTGTTTTTATTCGCAGAAGATATTTATTGAATGAAAAATAAAGCTTAAAAAGGTTTAAACTTCTGAAAATATCGTAAACAAACGGCATACGTGTACAAAGAAAAGAGAAAATTCTTTCTATGAATATTGAAACCAGTGAACTTACTTATATCTAATCTTTTTATGTATTTTCTACAGATCAATATGAGTGAAGCAAATTTGTACGAAGAATATTTGAAATATCAACAATTGAAGAAGGAGAAAAACCCACATGTAATTGGAACTGATGATTGGATTAATTGGCAAAGAAAGTGGTTTCAATTGGCCAATGAGAATTGCACGAAGGCGCACGCCATAGTGAAGAAGCGGCAGGTGATCCAGTCAACCCGGCTGCTATTGAAATTGCGTTAAAACCATCGAGAGAATATATGGCTGCAGAACGTGAAAAATATGAACAGATGAAAAAGTTGATGCAGTACACTAAGTGTAAGGATAGTTTTTTTCTCGCTCTACGCTTGAAATCGATTCAAATATGTTTCGTTTCAGACGATCAGACTGTGTGCAATGGCAATGAAGTCGAAAAAGGAACCAAGCGTCCAGTTGAAATGGAAGTACCAGCTGAAAACGATAACATCCATAATAAATAATACAAGTGCATAAATTGGATTTATTTAAATCATGATTTGATTGAATCATTCGACCTGATTTCAGGCTCTCCAATCTTCATATGCGCTGTCCAATCTACCAATTAGTAATTTGATAGAAAATAATGAAATTTTCAACATCAAATAAGTACATGCCATGAAACACTTACCCAATTTTCGTAACAGCCAACCAATAGAGTTCGGAGAGCTCCAAGAGTTTTTCCATTTCTACAGCATACAACGAACGAAAAAAATTGCGCCAATCTTCATTGCCCGTTCCTGAGTCCAAGTCGTTTTTAATGACAGTAATAAAGTGGCGAACATCATTTTCCATTCTGTCAATTGTATCAATCAAAAAACGTTGGTCTGGTTTCCAAAAACATCCACCACATTTTTTGATTCCGCTGTGCCTAGGTGGTCTATTAAACATTCAAGATGCAAAATATTCCGACAATTTGGACACTGAAAAGGGTGATTAGCTGCTAGCTAAGAATCGGCTTGACCCCGACACGGGCAAAAAATGTACGGCATTAGTAGAGCCATCGAACTTGAACAAATTTTATTGCTTTATTGATATCGTTTATGCGTTTTTTCTTCAAGAGATCACACCGTTTTACTGTTTGACAGTTGAACATCATTATGTTCGACTCTGAGCTCAGTTTTTGTAATTCAAAAACCTTATAAATGCAGTTTTTTCAAAACCTTTCAAACAAAGCAGAATTTAAAAAAATTTACCAGTAAATTTTTTTGATTTGAAAACTAAAACGAAAATTAAACTTTTAAAATTTAAAAACTAATAGAATAAGACTACATTTTTCGTTCCAAATTACCCTATTTTAGTGTTAGTATCTAAATTTACAATATAAACTCATCTGTATTTTATATTAAATTCAGTCTCATTCTCATCTATATAAAACAAATAGATGTTTTTTTTTTGTTTTTATGATTTTCTTATAATGTATTTAAATGAAATATTTCATGATTTTTTTCTATTATTATTGTTCAAATGTAATAGTTTTTGTTTGTTATTTTTTTTCAACGAATAATTAAACGGTATACGTATATAAACGGTCAATTCGATTAAAATAAATCACAAATGGTACTAAGAATAGTGTATTGATTTTATTTTATTGGTATTGTTCTTCACATCGCTAGGTGAAAGGAAATTCGCAGATATTTTTTTTTCTACTCTTTGTTCAATGATTTATGTCATATGGTGTTTATGAAATTACAAATGTAGCCCAGGTTTGAAAAAAAATTCTCAAAAAGAATCGCGAGAAAATGGTGTAATTGCACAAAAATGGGAAGAGGAACTAACATTTTTGAACTATCGAATTTATATTTTCAAATGGTTTTCTATGGTTTTTACAGACCAAGATGTTACTTATGGGGAGCCTTTCCTGGCCGCTAAAGCTGGATTCGAAAGAAGAATTTAAGAAGCTATCCAATTGAACAATTTAACGAGTGATAAAGTCAAATTGAAATGCGCACAGTTACACTAGCAAAACATACCAAAAATATTTCTTCGAATGATTCAAACAAAAGTTCTTTAGTTGTCATAAGGCAGCATGTTTCATTCTCTGGCCGCCTTAATAATAATGAACTAAAAACAATAGACTGAGCGACTAGTTGTAAATACTCAACGTTTTGGATAGATTGTATTTTAAGACCTTACAAATGCCCGTGGGCAAAACCTTTTATCTCTTTTCAGTTTCATATTTTAAATTTGAGGGTTTTCAAACGGAAATAGTTTACTTTGAAAAAGTCAAAACAAAAAAGACTGTTTTTTCCTCTCTTTTCAATTAAATTCTTTTCAATGTTAGCAACTAAAGTCTATATGAAAATCAATTTTCAATTTATTTGATTATTAACATAAAATTTGTTATAAGATACAGTTAAATGTTTTGTAACTGCTTTTTTTATCTTTTCAAATGATTTATGTTTGATTCATATGTGATCTTTTTGAACAAAAAATAAGCTTTAAAATGGTTTTAAACTTCTGGAAAGATCGTAAATAAACGGCATACGTGTACGATAAAGAGAAGTTACTATAAATATTGATTAGTAGAGAGTGGATTTAATCAACATTTGAAAATTGTCGATGCTGGCGCGATAGTGAAAGGGCTCTTGAAAGATAACCCAGTTGACCCGGCTGCCATTGTGGCTGCGTTAAAACCATCGTCAGAATATATGAACAAATGAAAAGGCAGTACACTAAGTGTAAGGTTTGTTTTTTTTTTTCGCGGATTTATTTAAATCATGTGCGAAAATTTGTTTATTCTAATACAAAAAATTAAAATCAGTTTTGTTGTTTTTTTTTCGCTTGCAACTCAAATAAATTGAATAATTTCAGTGGGATTTGATTTGATTGAATCATTCGACCTGATTTTGGGCTCTCTAAGCTGTTCAATCTGTCAATTCATAATTTGATAGAAAATAATGAAATTTTCAACGTCAAATAAGTACATGCTATGAAAAAAATTTCATAATAGCCAACCAATAGAGTTCGAAGAGCTCCATACGTCTTTCATTTTTTACAGTATACAACGAATGAGTGAAATCGCAGTCAATGATAGATAGCTGAGGATATATGCTAAGCATAGAAACTCAGCAAGCTGAGATTGCTATTGAAGTTACAACAAAATGCTAAATTATGTTGTGCTACCCATGCTATCATCATCATCAACATCATCGAGTTGCACTTGATTAATTCTGGTCTTCATTTTTAGCACTACATGAAATGTAGAGCTACTAATCTGTTTTTTTTCCTCCTAATACTTTTTTGAGCCATGAAAGGAATTAGAGTGGCTTTCAATTTTATGCTCATATTATTTATTAAATTTAAACCAGAGGCAGTATGTATCTTTCAAAAAAGAAATTAAACCAAGATCTTGTAATTCATTATTGAGATAACTGAGAAAATCTTTTTTCTGTATCTACTTTGTTGCAAATATATATCCTTCGTACTATGATTTTAATCCATAGTTTTATTAAAAGGTACGACTTTTAATGATATATTAATGCAAAGTTACTTCGATGAAATAAATTTCATGTAGTGCGCCAAAAAGAAGTTTATTGTGAAACAACAAAATAGAATAAGTAACTAAAATCTCAAGAACCAGTCAAGAAGAAGAGTCGCTCCGCTCCACTCTGCGGTCTTGTTTCTTCTTCTGTTGTTGTATCAATCTCTCTCTCGGTCATATACACCGAACATAACACAGTCCCATTATTTGGCTATACCGATGGCAAATCCAAATAATTTTGGATGCGGCATGGAATGCGACTGGACCAGTATATGTTCAACTCTTTTTGTCGATGCTGGTGTGTTTTCTCTTAGAGTTTGATGTTGCAAATACTCTTCCCTCTCATCTCCAATTTTAGTTTATACACACACACACACACACACAAAAACAAGAATGTTTGAATGGAAATTTTCATATTCTATTTTATATATTTAATGAATTTTGCATGGATTGCCAAACGTTAAATAGACAGACAGATTTACATTGTAGCTTGTTTCATACCTCTATATAACTGAGTGTATTTCAACTTTTTAACACCTATGTGAACTGTGCCCTGAATTTTAGAAAATTCTCTTGTTTTTTTTTTAAATCTATATAGTCGCTCAGAAGCGTGTTTAATGTAAAACTTTTTGCGCAAAATATAATAAAAATAAACGAAACGGAAAACATCAAAAGCATAATGTGTGTGCGCGTTGTTTTTT